AAATCTTTCTATTGACATAGGTATTAGTAAGTAATGATAATCTTGATGTGCAATCGCGTTAACGGTAGTGGAAGTAAGTTAATGTGCTGCGCATGCGCGTAATGACATTTGTGATAGAAATTTTGAGCATGCGCATGCGTACTAATGGCATTGGAGAATCTTGGAGAGCATGCGTGTCAATAATATGGGCACTGAATGGACCCTTTTAGCTTCGTATGGAAATTGCCCATTTCAGATTACCTGACATTCCCTTGAGAATTGTTCTTTTATTGCGAACATGTTAAAAGATTTACACATGAAAGAATCAACTCACAAGAGTGGCATCACGTGGTCTGAAATGTGCACAACAAACAACGAAGCTAAGAGGTCTATTTGAAGAGATGTGGCTTAGCGTTAAACTAGGCTGCCACAGGCAACCCAGTGATTTTTATGCATGCGCACTTGTAGAAGATACAAATTTCATTCAAGTAATCATGCAATGACGCAAATTTTGTCTTGRTTTTTTCCCAGGTCCAGATCCGTCCATGGAATCTCTCTGATGCAGACTTTGTAATGGATGGTTCCCAGGCCCTTGATCCAAGGAAGACAATCTTTGTTGGAGGCGTRCCTCGTCCTTTGCGTGCCATCGAACTGGCTATGATTATGGACAGACTTTACGGAGGGGTTTGCTACGCCGGTATAGATGTGGAYCCTGAGCTCAAGTATCCTAAGGGTAAGCCAAATATAAGTCAATAACGCTGTTCTCCTTGGAAGACAAATTGTCGCGCCCTTTTCAACCCTCTCTTCTCTATCGACAAAGATTACAATGCCTTTGCTGTTTATTTTCTTAATAGGTGCCGGTCGTGTTGCGTTTTCCAACCAGCAGAGTTACATCGCAGCCATAAGCGCACGTTTTGTGCAGCTRCAACACGGGGATATTGACAAGCGGGTAAGTCACACTAGAGAGAAATCAAARAAMAAACCTCKAACAAACTCCAAAYATTTGTTGAAACTGATCAGTGTTCTTTCAAAACTAAAAGTCTATGGCACTTGAAAACTTTAGTCGTTCTTATACAAGACGCAAAATCTCATCACCATGATAGAATGTCTCAGTGGTGTTGAGACGGATTCGGATTTTCACGCCGACTTTCCAAACATGCGCAATCCTTACACTACACAAGTAACCTAAGCGCTTTTACTCAAGTTTTGATTTATAACTTTTTATTAAGGTTGAAGTTAAGCCGTACGTCCTTGACGACCAGTTGTGCGAYGAATGCCACGGTGCAAGATGTGCTGGTAAATTTGCGCCGTTCTTCTGCGCAAACGTCACATGCCTACAGTACTACTGTGAACAGTGTTGGGCGATCATCCACTCAAGAGCTGGGCGTGAATTCCACAAGCCCTTGGTCAAAGAGGGCGCGGACAGACCAAGGACTGTTTCATTCAGATGGTAATGGTATACCTAACMAAAGAACGTACTTGAGGCCTGGAGRTAATTTAAGTGATTGAAGATAGAAAACCACGCTAGAATATGTCTTAATTCTACCCTACTCTGTGYACCGGAAGAAACATCTCATCGCTCAAGCAGGCCGCATCTYCAGAACCTAATGAACCCCGTACAACGTCTGCAAGAGCAAGACTGTCTTTTCAGCGTGCGCAAGTAAATAGATTTCTTAGATTTAACTTTGCATAGATTTTAGTACTTTGTAAATAACCCTGGTAGGAAAACCATGGGGATGGATTTGTAGAATTTAGCTCAATCATGCTCCCTTGCTTCMATAGCTTAACTACCCCTCTCTTAATCCTTGTAGATAATAGAGGCGAAAAAACCCCAATGAATCGTTGCCATAGTAACGCATAAGAAATGTTTTTAGACAACTTGTAGTTTCCTAATGTTTGTAGCACATCGTTTATAGGCATGTAGGACATACGTATATRTTATATATATACTTTTAGATGAAAACTAGAGTAGTTTTTATTAGAATTGTTTTATTGAAGGGCAACATCTTGACTTGAATGGAATTGGGTATCATTCTCTCACATAGTGGTTCACTGTGGATGGATGATAACTAGGACCACTTGGCATTGCATGTTTGCTCACTTTTGACCATGTGTCATTCCCTTGATTATTATGTATTTTTTCCACCCTTAATTCTCAAAAACATAGATGAGACACAAACGAATCTTATTCCTAGTGGAATGACGAATGACATGTGGTCAGAAGTGGAAAAACATAACATCCAAACTGAATGGATCTATGTACCAAGATGTTGGTCATTTGAGAAAACATAAGACGTGGTTTAGATACAAAATGAATTGGCATAACCCTCATAGGCCTCAATGGAAAGAAAGAGTGGTTGAAATAYGGAGACAGATAAAGCAGGTTAGCCTAGAATTCACTGGGCTGCCTTACTCCTCAAATACWTGCAGGGTACTTTGAGGTACAACAATCCCCCCTCTTACTAAAGAGGTTTTCAGATTCCCAATCTTTCTGAAATAATCATATAATTTCTTATTTGATAAAAGAGAATTTACAGGTTCAATTTTTAGTCCAGTCGAAATGAAATCATTTTCTAGAAGAAGCAGCAGTTTAACCTTTTTTAGCAGGGAATGCAGTGTYGTACATATAGTGAATTAACACAAGTAGAGCCTGCAACTACGTAACCTACAGCCTTTTGGCTTCAAGAGTGAGTCGTGGGTACGAAGTTGCACCAACCTGATCCTTTGAGAGGTGACAGTCATTTATAGAACTCACAAGTGAAACTAAGTGTACTAGGTAGTGGAGAGAATCTTTTTTGATTATCGCGATTGGTTTTCTTGTCATCAACAGAGGAAAGAACAGACTTGTAATAAGAATTCATAAGTTTCATTGATATTTTATTGAAGTCTTAAGATTTCCATTTCTGAATTACATGAAAGTATTTTTTTCTGAAGGCATAAATATTCAATTTTTGCAAGGTTTATTTTTTGCATGGCAGCCTAACTGGTCAGTTTTGTGCAATCATGACTTCAAAGGCAACTGTATTGATACAATAAGGTTTCACAGTTTGTAAGCTAGTAGCAAAGCTAACGTGAAAGTTAAGTGTTTTGGAACATTTAAGACTGCAAATTTTGGCTGTCTGCTCTGCTGTACTTTTCAAACAATGACTTGTTTGATGCTTTGTAAGTGGAGATCTTGCACTGGTAAAAGTTGCTATGGTTACCTCTATGGTTACTATGGTTACCAAGGGAAACAAGATGTTGTCATGGTAACCTCTTCAGGTTACCAAGGAAACTGTCCTAGTTACATCATGTTACCATAACGATGTGAAACCTGACATGGCTACATCATGTGGTGCACCTTTCAAGGTTCTCCTGACACACCCAAGGCTGCTATGGTAACCATTTCAGGTAACCAGCCTCTTTACCAGTACTGTCGCAACTTGATACTGGCTAAAATAAGTCAAGGCATCAAACTCTTTATTGCCAACATCAATCTTGCATTTCGACAACTGCAGACTATAATATTGTTCCATTGTCCATGTTCTGCAATCTGCTAGGCTCATTTCCTTTCGAACAGCAACATATAAATTTCATCAAAGCTGAACAGGAGATTCATAAAAATCAACTGCCCACCATTAAATATAATTATGTATATATGCAGTGGTGCACGCAAGGTGGTTATACGTCCCATTTGGGTGTCGGTAATCAGTCATTAAGATCAAAATAATATCATTATCAATAACAATAGCTATTAGCATATCGCCGCAACTAATCAAGTTTGTTGATGAACTCTTATACATAGAACAAAGAATTAGATTTGCAAATGGTCTGTTGAAATTTTAAGAATATTCTTCTTATCATCAATATCATTAATATTAACCTTTTGCTTTTTATAGATTTTATATTTACTAAGAATTCAAATAATATATTACTCAAGTTTTAATTTTGGAAATATCTAGAATAAATAGTACATAGTACTCGTAGTTTAGATAAATAAATCAAGGAATTGTGGAACTGAAGTAAACATGAGCTAAAAATTTTCATCCTCAATGCAGAGCTGAATTCATAATACAAAGTTGAGAATATTTTGTGATAAGTCATTAAATAAATTTTCTTTAAAGCTTTTTAATGAAATGGTAGGGTACAGGGAGTATTTTTTTCTTTTTTGAGAAACGTTTTAGATAGACAAATTCATGTCAATAGAATTACATTTTTGTGAAAAAAAACTTTAGTAAATTTTTCATCATATTTTTCAAAAATACCTAATATTAGCATTTTATCATTTCTATTTTATATCTGCATGTTGATCATTAAACTATTTTTTTAGCTTAAAAAAAAACCTGAACTAAAAATTCTCTTATCGATATATTTTTGTGCTCAGTAGAGAATGATAATTTTTAGCCATAATTGCTGGTTCCAACTTTTCCAGGGAGGTGTTCATTATGATATCACTAAAAACAAACAAAAATATAATTATAACCAAATAACTTTTATAAAATTAATGTTTCATCATTTTTTCGAGACAGACTTAGGTTTGTAAAAGACATATTATTTATTTTCATAAAACTGATCAAAATTTTAAATTCTTTGCCTATACACAATTTACTTTGTCAAATAAAAGCCAAACTCCAAATATGAATTAAAATGAGAAAGACTCACCCTTGTTTATCATTTTCTGGCATTAATTTGGTAGATTAGGATTCATATTTTGGATTATTTGTTTCAAATTTAATGTAATATTATTCTCTCTAGAAATGTGTGGAATTTAGAGTTTAAAACAAGTCAATTTGTTTATAAGCCAAGTAAACTATTATTTGAGTTTACTGTCATTTCTATTGAAATTTCATTAGATAAGGAGTCAAATCAAAGTCTACACACTGTGTTAAGCACTAAATGTGGCAAGAGAAACTGTGCATGTGTTTTGTGTGCGGTTATAAAGCACGCAGGGATTGACAGAACATAAAAGAGGTGTTGAGAAAAGCAGGCTGCATAGTGGAGTGCTTCTCAACTCTTCTCGAGTTTTCACAGGATTGTGCTATCAAAACATCCATAGAACATGTACTTCACTAAGTTGCAGATCATGCAGCTTTATTTGACTCTTTAAACCAGAGGTTTCATTAGAAATGGCCATAAATTAACTTTAAATTTTAGCCATTACTTAGAAATTAGAAAAAAAAAACATTTATTAATTCAAACCCTATGCATATCACAATTTTGTTACAAAAAAAAACAATCAAATATTTTGCTTTCCATATTTTTTTTTCACCACAGGTAATAATAATTATTAAATATTATATTTTGATAATATTTTAGCTACTGGTAAAATACARCCATGGCTAACATGATGTGTTCATGTTATTTGAATTGTGAGCTTTCTGAATAAAATTTTACACACAGGTAGTGAAACTGGTCGTTAATAATCATGATAACATCCACAGACGTGATGACACTAAGAATGAGAATAATATGTCACATTCACTACTTCATTTTGTGATTTTCGAGAAACATTAGCTTAATGAAGATATCAAAAAAGATATCCATTGCTTCCCATTTATTCAAAATTTTTTATGTTATAATTCTTAGTGTCATCACTACTGAAGAAAAAAAAAACAAGATCTGCTTGGTTTTAAATCAGACTTAATCATCAGATACTATTTTACTACTAATGAGAAAGGTTCTTTACAGCATATATATGTTTTGCAGGTAAAAATAAGATCTTTTTTCAGGATTCAATTCAAAATCAAGTCTAGAAGTACTTGCCATTAAGAGACGCAAGTTAGAGCAATCAACCCTAGCCTTTACAGTCATTTTAAAGTTTATGTTTGGTGGCTCAAAAAAATGTACTTGTCTAGGTAAAAAATGTATCATATTGCTAGAACTGGTTCGATCAGTCGATAACGAGAAACAAATGCCAATTTTTTGTCATTGACTTTGTAAAAAAATTGCAAACTTAATTACTAATTATTTCATTTTAATATACTTGTACATTTGTTACCATTAGTTATTTAGATATTTGTCTGAAAGATTTTCTTGTTTATACAGAAATTATATTTTTGATTATTTTTTGATTCATTTGATTGAGTAACTATCCTTAGACAAATAAATAATTCTGGGTTCCAAAGACAAAAGAATTGGTTAAAAAGCTCTGTTTCCAATCTGTACCATGTACAAATTGCAGAGCCATGGTTTTGATCAAAGTGATGATTGAATTCTGAGACTCCATGGATTTTGTGGCAACATATTCATTTGTTACCCGTAGTAATGTACCTTGCTTATTCATCAGTCCACTGGTCACACATAAATCATTCGAGCGAGAAGCAAGTAGTTTCAAAGAATTATTGGAATTTGAACCTTGCAGCAGCCTCAGTTGAATGCTTTGTGTTTAACCATTATGGAAAGTGATTTATAGATGTTAAAACCCGCAAAAATCACATATTTCCATGTTTCTCGTATACATAATATAATTTGCTATACAAAGAATTCAAGAAAATCTTAACATTTATTTAAATTTGTCTACTCATTTGATTTAAATGATTCATCATTTTAGACATGACAGCTCTGCAATTTGGTACATACATTTTATCCTCCCATCCAAAAGGCTTTGAAATTGCAATAAAACTTAGAAAATAATTAAACATATCTTAAATTTTAAAATGTAATATGATCAATTTTTTAATTCAATGAATGAAATGGCAAAACTAAATGGCATACATCATATTAGATAGTGGAGCTGTAAAGCTTGTAGCTAATATAGTTCAAGCTTTAGTGGATTTTGATGTTCGGTGTCAAGTCTCCCTTAATGAGAATATTGTCAAACAATTCAGGGTTCAAAACTAGCAACTAGGAAAGTGCAAGTACTTTCTTGGCTTTGCTAGCTTTGAAAAAAACTACTAGCAAACATTTGGAAATAAATGTTTTCCAATCTGAACAATTATTTCATTAAGAAAAAGAAATTCAAATGTTTGCATGTGGATAAAAATTTACGTTTAAGCAATGGAAACCTTCAAATGAATTGTGAAGACAAATTATTTCATCACAAATAACTAGCTACAAGCTTGGACTAGTTGTGCTTTATCAAACAAAATCAACTGAGCACCTTCCATGAACAACAACCAATAGACTTAATTATGAATTGTTTTTCTCAAAAGAAAATGAATTTTTTTCATAAAGACCTTGATTCCATTCAAAAATGGTAGAATTGCATGTTTTTTCAAAGCTTTTATACTTAAAAAATCCTAAAATCTTAGTCTTGTAAAAAGCTTTACAAAAGCTGAGCCTAAATAATTATAATGTCAAGTATCTAGATCAAGCATATTTTATACAATCATTTTGTTTCAAAGAAACTATGCAAGATGCTCCCCATTTTGGCCATTCCCCAATAATTCCAATTAGAATTGCCTTTGAAAGAGCAACATTATTTGTAAATGGGTGTATATTGAATATGTAACTAAACAGGACAAATGTTATTATATAATATCTTTAATAAACCACGCGTCTAGTATTCATTAGAAAGGTGTGAAGTAATGGTGATGTGAATTACTTATTTTTGCATTACTGAATAGTATTATTTTTGGCTTATGTACTATTTGTATCGACTCATTTTAGTTTGGAAGTCTGTATTTACATGTAGTTGGACAGACCATTAAAAATTTTAAAACGTTATTCAGTTGTTGTAAATATTGTTAATTATTACTTGATTACTGGTTTTAATACTTTTAAATTTCAACGTTGAATTTATTAAAACAAATTTTAGGGAGTTTTATGTGGTCGGCCACTAATTTATTCCCTTGTAAAATACATTTAATACTACTAGTTTTTACAATGACTTAGCTTGCAACAAAATAATAATT